CGTAATACCCCCCCTTATGCTGCAGAAGGACGGTTGCAGTTAATTGCAATTTCTCGTCCATTTGAGTTGGTGGCATTTCATCTTATGGGACCTTTTCCACGGTCGACTGCTAGCAATGAGTATGTTAGTATTGCTTCTGACTACTTGACTCGTTAGGTGCAAGTTGGTGCTCTTGCTAGCGCCTCTGCAACTGCTGTTGGATACTTCCTCCTCAATTGAGTGGTGTTCCAGCATTCTTGTCTAGAGCGGATTCTTTCGAATAATGGTCCCACATTTATGGCTGAGGCATTTCACGTTTTGACATCTTGGTTGGGGATACACCAGACTTTCACGAGTGCTTATCATCCACAATCAAACAGTCTGGTGGAACGGCTCATTTGGACATTCAAAGGGATGATTGCGAAGTATGTGAACTTTCAGCATTTGAATTAGGATGGTTATTTGCCATCTTTTCAGTATGCCTATGTCACAGGGGTGTAGAGTTCTATTGGTGCTTCACCATATAAACTCCTATATGGTCATGATCCAATATTACCAACAGAGCTGGGTTTATCTTCACGATTGCCACGAGCTCCCGATGCTAGGTCGTGGGGTCAATATTTGATAAACATTCTTCCACTTGTCTAAGCAGAGTTTGCCGAACACTTAGGCCGCGTACAAGTGGGACAACAATGGCGCTACAACTCTCATCATCGTCCACCTGTGGAGTACAAAGTGAATGATTTGGTGTTAGTCCATTTTCCCCATCTTACAGTATGTGGTTTATCTAAGGGGCTCCTTGCGCAGTGGAAAGGACCGTATCGGGTGTTGCGGCAAGTTGGACCACAAGTTTATGAGGTTCGGTATGACGTCCAGTAGGCCAATCCTCCAAAGATTGTGCATGTGTAGCGGTTGAAACACTTCATACAAAGGGATTAGGAGCAGTTAATACCATCTACAGATCCACCGATGCCTCCTCCTGACGTTCCTCCAGATCCCGGCCCGTCTACAAGAGAACCCTGACGGCCTTCCATTATTCTGAGAGGAGAGGATGATGTGAAAGTGTACGGCTACAATGCCATATACTAACGAATATAAATTTAAAATCTTGAACATCATCCTTGCAATCAATCATCCAATTGCTCCACGATGGCGTTACACATTCTGAGAAAACTTCGGGTTCCCATTCAATGTGGCTCTCGCTAGGCCTAGCAAGTCGTCACGACATAGTGCAATTGTGAGAGAATCCATGGGAATGGCAGGGCATGGCACCACCATGGGTCCAAATGCGCCTCATTCCCGACAATGTTGTTCTGCCACACAAGATATTCGAGCTTGACAATCTCAAGAGGTTAGGGGGCGAGGGAATGGATGAGGGCGCTAGCCAAGACACTCATTCCTGACAATGTTGTTCCGTCATGTAGGATTTTTGATCTTGACAATCTCAAGAGGCTGGGGGCATGGGAATGGATGAGCTCATGGAGGTGCTGGCCAAGATGCTAGTGTCGTCAGATGTGTTCTTGCTATGGATAGCCATGTCTTGCAATCCAGGTATTCCAGCCGCCATTGCTGTTCTTAAGAGGGCTTTTGAGGATCTTGAGCGAGATTTCCGGCTGTGGAGCGGTCAAGAGCATGAAATTCATGTTCTTGGCCACGATCAGGCAAAAGTTTCAAACTTTTAATCCTTCGTGTCTCCGTGGCCAGGCTGCAAGGATCTTTTCAAGTGCCTGCACGTGATTCTACAGTTTCTTGTCCATAATCCCCAGCACAAGCTACTTTGAGGGTGGATGGTGCCTCCATTTGGCCAGCCCTAGAGCTGCTCAATGCCACAATGCAGCTGGGGTTTCCACACCTCTGGTCCTTCCCTAGGATCAGTGATCATCTTGGCTGCCCAGATCTTGTCTGGAGCATTGGAGTGGCACGTTCTCTAGACATGGTGCAGCCTCTCCAAGTTCTCTGCCATGGATCTTTTCTCACACTCTGCGGGTTTGAGAGCTTGGTGGAGCAAAAGGCCAAGGCCAAGTACGTTGTGGAGCGCTGGAGAGCAGGCATGAGGCTACAAAACTACAACTTCGATGCCATGGCAAGGAAATGGAAAGGAAAGTGTGTGAAACATCACAAAAGGGAAAAAGAGCTAATAGTTGTTTCTTCAGGAAAATACTTGGTGCAAAGGAAGGCTTCCGCCTGACAGGAGCGAGGTGCCATCTACAATGCTGACATTCTTGCTGTGATGGACGATGCAATCTACATTCACACACTCTTGCTACTAGAATCTCACCACCATGTGATCCAGTTTGTTGTCCAGTGGTGCAACATGCCAATGGCACAACCAGGTATGTCTGGAGCCATATGAAAGCCATAATTTACTTGTGTAACTAGTGAATGTGAGGCTTCAAGGAGGGTTCTTGCACAACACACCACAAACAAGAAGTCAATTAAAACTTTACCAAACACTATTACTTGTCTTCCTCTTTATAGGTATGTAATGTTATAGCATAATAGTTCTAATTAGAATATTAAATTAATATATAGCCTTATTTGTTCATGATGTTCATTAAGATCTGAATCTTTAACACCACCAATTTCATCTTAAAAAACACAGCTCAACAAGATTTAAATTTCAAAAATATAAATACATTACCAAACATAGAAAGAAATCTAAAATACTCCTTCATGTTAGTGCTGTATAAAGTTGTAATTAAGGCAATAATACATTACCATTCTGCTTCCTATTGTTTTCAAACTGATTAATAACTATGTTTGTTTTCTCAAGTAGTTCCTTCCGAATGCTTGATAATTAAACAAGTTGACAGATCGATCAACTGTTGAATCAGAGAAGATTGGAAGTCAGCCACAGTGTGGGAGGTAGTGGTGTGGAATGAATTAATGCTGCAACTGCAAAGCAAAATTTTTGACTAAACTACTGGCCTAGAAAGAGGCACTCATATGTGCATAGGCATTAAAATATGGTTAAACCCTAAGGATAATTGCTGCGATAGAGTTCAAGGGTCAAAAAATACAGGTGATTGACATCTCTCCTGGACAACCCTTACAGCCGAATTAGCAAGTTTTCTGGGTGCTTGTGCAATATGCAGTTGAAGCTGATTTGATGAGCAAACTTTATATATTGATCTTTATTGGATATGAGATCATATTGAGGATATCTCTAAAAGTTTCCTAGCAAAACTATCTAAGCTTTTTGGTCTCAATTTCAAAGGTGTTGCATAGGTGTTCAAAAAGTTTCATCAATCACAATGATTTTGAAGAAACCAGTCATGAACATTAATTTTGCTAGATGAAAGACAGACATCCAAGTTTAATTAACCATGAATTTTTGCTACATGCTTTGGAATGTTTTTGTTAGGAGCACAGCATTCTGAAGCCCTATAAACTGGGTTTCTCCTTTCCTTCATTGGTCCGAGAACATACAAGCATGCAGCCTCCATGATAGCATAAAGACTTTACAAGAAAGGTAAGTTTAAAGCTCTTTCAGGAAATTTTATAAGTCACTTCACATGAGCTAAATTTCTAACTAAAGTGTAGATTTATGATGATCCAGGAAGTTTATTGCAGCATTCCTCTCATCAAGAGCTCTTTCCAACATAAACTTGATTCATGGTACCAATGAACATGCAGTCTAATCCTCGAATCAGGACACAAGTGCAGTCGGACCAAGCAATGAATTGAATCCGGTGGACCAAAAATAAAGGCTCTTCGTTTTTGTACACATTTTTGGAAAGAAGGATTGTACTAATAATTGTTGTATATGTAAGGATATTCTTGACCTATTAACTAGGAAGTCTTCATGAATAGTCTATTTTTTAAAGTTGTGGTTTATGTCTAGGGTTTCTATGGAGTACTCCCCTATTCCAGAGAATGATCCAGACATTGAAGCTTGGCTTAGGGCGATGGATGCTGCAGTAGAGAAGATAGGAGACAACACCGGGCCAGTCTTTGTATCAGGTGAAGTGCCCAGAGATAGGTTCCTCAAAATGTATAACAAGAGCCGGGCTTACAAGCGAAACATGCTGTGGAAGTCTGGCTCGCTTTTCATCCAGGCAGATTACACGGACCATCATGAACAGGTAAGGTACTGGCTGCATGCAAAGCTCCTCCAGGAATTCCAGAGGCTGGGGGTCGTGTTTCTGGGGAGCAGCCGGCAAGTCTCTTTGTCTCCGGGAGGTTTGATGGAAATCGGAAACGATCGATACCAGCAAGTGGATTTGTTTGTGCTAGAGAAATCAAAGGAGGACCGCAATCTCAAGAAGGCAAGGGTAATCCTGGCGGCCCAAGTTGTATATCGCAATGAAGATCCACGGGCTGTTTTTGATGATATGGAAGTGCTTGTTGGGGAGCGAGGCGGGGCCAAAGTTGCCTTGGGGATCATTGTTGGTGATCCTTGTGTTGTGTATTACAGGGACAGGCAGACTACAGAGACTCAAGTGATCGAAGCAATCGATGGAAACGTTCTGCGATTCAAGTGGCAAGAGCTCTTTGATGAAGTGCATGTTGAAGGGGAGACGGTTCTAGACTTGGGCCTGCTAACGGATCACGCAACTTCCGTTTAGCAGTCTTTTACTTCAAAGTGAACTTTTTATTATATCTTGGTTTTTCATGACAACGTTTTCTTTTCTATCGTTCCAAAATGAGTATGGATCTATAAGCAGTACCTTTCGAGCATTGGGATAAGAAATAATTCTGAGGCTTCTTTCCATCAGAATTCCTGCTGGTTTTACTTGTTGCAACAGATAGCGCTCTCTCCATTGTAGCGGAGGAGTTTATCATGCAGAATTCTCGAGCTTCACACTGACAAAGAGAACTCTCGAGCGCTTCGTTAAGCAGCCTCTCTGGATCTGCAACATCCATTTTCCATGATCAGCGCGGAAGAAGCCTCCGAGTTGAAGCTTCCGAAACTTTGCTTGTCTACAACTGGAGGGACCTCTTCAATCCCTTTGCGGAAACTAAGAGGATGTCATATGGTGTTTCGTCGCACACGTTGATCCAAATCGGGAATCCTTTGCTGAGTACGCTCTGAGTTCCATCGCGTGCCATCGCGTCCGGCTTGTTTCCTGGCTGTCTGCCGATCGAATCTAAGGCCAAGCGCTGCTTCTTCCTGATGCAGTAGCGCAATCTGCACAGGAAACGAGCAAACTCAATACTTCGCACGCTCTGAACAAGATCCAGACAGATTGTTTACCTGCGCTTTGTTCTGCTGGAGGTTGTCCCACAGCGTCGTCATTGCAGGCACAAGGCTAGAGAAAGAACCCGAATGAAGAGTGTAAAAGGAAACAGAAAAACTGCGAGTACCAGAGTTCCATAAGTTTCAAAAGGTACGCCTGGTGTGTCACGCAGTGGTGTGAAGCTGCCAAAGGATGGATTCGCTGCCCCCTAGAGAACCAAGAAGAAAGAAAGAGAGAAATAACTTGTCAAGAAGTTGAGCAGGAATGACTGAACTGTTTTCTTTGATGCATGGCTTTCTCAAACGCAGCCTTTTCTTCGTTAAACACTGTCTGCTGCAAAGAAAGCAGAGGATCGGGAGGAGGATTGGCGAGGTTGAATGTGGACACAGGAACTACTTGCATTGGGATCTCCTTTCGTGAAAAGTCTCCGGAACTGTTTTACGTAGGAAAATTTCAGAACGGAAAGCAGAACGGTATTTACCTCATGTCAAGACTTGAAAGATGCATTGCTTCTTCGATGCCTGGCGAAAGCCGCTGCTCGATTTCATTGCTTGACGAATCCGATATCCTACGAGTATAGTTGATGTCCACAACTGTCTGTAAGAAGAAAAAAGAAAAGAGTTGTGACCCTTTCAACAAATGCTCAAGTACCGAGAGAGACGAGGAGGCTTCATCCGGAAGACCGTTCCCGTTGGAACCAAAACCAAAATTGGAGTCCTGAGCGGATGAAACTCACCAACATGAGAAGGAAGAACAGTGATGTGCGGATGTAAATGATACCAGCCAATAACTCTGGTCGTGTTTCCAATTTCTAGATAATCTGTGCTTCCAGAGTCAAGGAAATAACTAAGGAAGCAAGAAAACAAAAGGTTCCTTGAGGATATCATGGCCGCCACAAGCTTAGTCTCCACGCAATCCTTGCGTCGATCAGAGCTAGCTTGTGGCACAACGCCCCAGACGAGCGCCTCTACCGTGCCTTTGCTCTTGTCCTGGACGAGAAGCCTCCTCCCGTCGACAGCGCGTGTGTCATCGCCATTCTCGCAGATTCTCATTTTATTAATCAATTAAAAAACTAATATAAAATCTTGACGGAGTGGACTTGGAACCAGGGGTGTATATGTTTCTTCCAATGCTAGATCTGAAAGAAGTTCACTGTATTTTTCTAGTTGAGAATCAACTTTTTTGAAGATGAGTTGTCCTGTGTGGAAGGCAAAATATCATGTTCCAACTTTAAAATATCACACTTTATTTAGATCTATGACTTTTAAGAGTTATGTTAAAATTGAATATTGTTTTGGAAGTATGTTAAAGGTTAAGTGATTTGTGGCAAGTTTCATGTGTTGTGAAACAATAGATGGTTTCAAGTTCATGGTGTTGTGTAATTAGTTCATGATGTTTTGACTAGTAAAAAGTAAAAAATTTTAAAATTATCCTTTTTGTAAAGTCTTTATATGTTATTATGTTTAGAAATTATGCCATCAAAAATTCTTTAGAAATTAGTTCCCTTAAATAATTTTTCTAGGAAACTTTTAGGATTGAATTTTATATGCCCCTCTATAATCATATAAAAAATAGAGACTAACATTTAAATTTCACTGATCAAATCAGCTTTTGTAATAATCAAGTGCATGTCACATAAGTACTTGAAAAATGTGTTCATTTAATTGTATAAGTTGTATAGAAAAATATTAATTCCTTGTATTCCCTTAACCCTTAACTTCATTAGGGGATTATATTTTGAGATATAAGTGATTCTTTTTAATATGGCAATTGATTTAGAATCTGATGTCTAAATAAATAATTTATCTTGTATAATTTTTGCACAAATTTATATATTTTTTCTATTTGCATTATAATTTAATGTGGATGGCCATTTTGCATATATTCAACATATAATGCCTAATATATATATGAAATTTGCATTTTCTGATCAATAAAAATTCCTTTCTAATAGATTAAAATTTTCTATAAGGTAATAAAAACATTTATGATAGAAATATTTGTCCAAATTTGCCACATTAATATTTGATGTAAATAAATTTTGATAATGTGAAGATCAATGAAAAATTTTGTTCCACTTAGGTACTTTTCTCCTTAGAGAAAATTATTTTTAAAATGCTGAAAGTTTTTTGGATGGTAAAAATACTTTTTTTAAGGAAAATTAATTCTTTACGAAGAACCATTAAATTCTTTATTTGCATGTTTTTATCAATTATCTCAATAAAGCTTATAATTTTTAAATTCTCATATGTGTATTTCCATTATGGATATTTAAAAAGTCAGATAAGTATGAGATAGAGTTAGTTGCTATTACATTTTCTTTTGACTTCAAAACAACAATGATTTTTCCAGATAATTTTATTATTCACCATCTTTCAGCATTCTCACACATTGAATTATAAATAGAATTCTTGTGAAACACACTAATGTTTGTAATTATAAAATATATTTTTTTAAAAATATTACCTCCCTTTAAAAAATTAATTTTTCCTATGAGATACACTTATAGAAAGTGTATTTTAATATAGGTGAGAAGTATTTCTTCTAAAACATAATTTGTTAAAGACCCTATATCTAATTAAAAACTAAAAAATAATTAGAGAAAGAACATTATTAATTTTCTTCATAAGTTTCCTTTGTTGAAGTTTTTTCTGCACTTACTTAATGATCTTGGCTGATTTTATAGGTGTTATAGATTTTAATTTTTATCCTTTGTTATTAATATTTATCTTCCTCTTTAATGTTGTGGTGCAAAAGTTCTAATAGAAATGTTAAATTAATCCATTAACTTATTTGTTCATGATACTCACTAAGATTTGAGTCTTCAATGCCACAAGTTTTATCTTTATAATAAGATCTAAATTTTAAAAATATAAATGCATTACTACATATTAGAGGAAATTTAAGGTACTTCTTGTTATTAGTATTATAAAAAATTGTAATTGCAATTAACAATGTCAAATAATGTATTTTAAAATATTGGTATATTAAAATTGTGTTTTTTGTTCTTTTCTTGTTTTTAATGTCATATAAAAACCTTTTTCACTCACATTCCTTGTGATATAGTGAAATTATGGCTTTAAATAAAAGTTAAATATACTTAATTTTACTATTGTTAAACAATATTAGATGATATGATATATTTGTGAAAGTCATTGTTAAAGTTTTTGGCAAAATATTATCTGCATAAAGTTTAACATTAAATTTTTTTCTAAATATTTCCTTTATAAAAAATTTATTAATTAAAATGCATGACTTTATGATTATTTTAGCTCTGGAATTTTTGAATCGACCACCAAATAATGAGAGAATGAAATGTGGATTGCATCATAAATTGCAAACACAACTATATATATATTGATAAAAAAAATAAATCACCCTTAAACCTTAAATCCACCTACTCATAAACCTTAACCCTAAACTTGTTTAATCTATATTGAAACTTTAGTAAAATAATATTGTTATCATCTACCAAGAAAGTAAATATCCATATATATGCTTATATGATTATATTGCATAAATTAACAATTTCTTTCATACTAAGTGGAACTATTATTGTAATACAACTCATCAATAGGGTAAAATGAATCTATTTTATAATGGTCTAAACCCAACTCATATTCTAGTGTATTTGCATCATCGTCTTTTATGAGATGTAATTACATAGTGTTTTTTTATTTTTGGTGTCATGCCATCTTCAAATGATGTAAAGCTATCAATTTGAGAACTATATATCACAAAAATTTTGTGACCAAATTCTTACCTATTATCAAGCTGTATGAGTGGATGATAACAAAGTGATAATCAATTTTTGGGCATTTCTTAAATATATGGTTATGAAGTAGAAGAAATATGGTGTAATAATATCCTAGCAATTAATTTCCACTATCATTGAGTAAACATTCAGTAGACACTATGTTTTGAATAAAAATATTCAAAGTGCACATGACAAAATACAATTCTACTGTAAAAGCCAAACACACCAAAGTTAGATTTAGTAAATGCTACTAGGTCAACTCCTCCACTCCCATCCCCACACAAGGAGAAGGAAGAATTTAGAATGGGCAGCAGGTGATCGTGTTTGCCTTACCCTATCACATTTTCGTGAATCTCTTAAACATGATTATTAAATAATTAATTGTGTTTAAATGTTACAAACATCCTGAAGGAGTTTATCATGCAGAATTCTCAAGCTTCACAATGACAAAGAGAACTCTAGAGGGCTTCATGAAGTAGCCTCTCTGGATCCGCAACATCCAACTTCTATGATCAGAATAACAAAAGGCTTACATGAACTCGTCGAGCGGAAGAAGCCTCCGAGTTGAAGCTTCCGAAACTTTGCTTGCCTACGACTGGAGGGACCTCTTCAATCTCTTTGCGGAAACTAAGAGCACGTCATACGGTGTTTCCTCGGACACGTTGATCAGAATCGGGAATTCTTTGCTGAGTACGTTCTGAGTTCCATCGCGTGCCATCATGTCCGGCTTGTTTCCTGGCTGCCTGCCGATCGAATCTAAGGCCAAGCGCTGCTTCTTCCTGATGCAGTAGCGCAATCTGCACAGGAAACGAGCAAACTTAATACTTCGCACGCTCTGAACAAGATCCAGACAGATTTTTCACCTGCGCTTTGTTCTGCTGGAGGTTGTCCCACAGCGTCGTCATTGCAGGCACAAGGCTAGAGAAAGAACCCGAATGAAGAGCGTGAAAGGAAACAGAAAAACTGCGAGTACCAGAGTTCCATAAGTTTCAAAAGGGCCGCCTGGTGTGTCACGCAGTGGTGTGAAGCTGCCAAAGGATGGATTCGCTGCCCCCTAGAGAACCAAGAAGAAAGAAAGAGAGAAACAACTTGTCAAGAAGTTGAGCAGGAATGACTTAACTGTTTGCTTTGATGCATCGCTTTCTCAAACGCAGCCTTTTCTTCGTTAAACACTGTCTGCTGCAAAGAAAGCAGAGGATCGGGAGGAGGATTGGCGAGGTTGAATGTGGACACAGGAACTACTTGCATTGGGATCTCCTTTCGTGAAAAGTCTCCGGAACTGTTTTACGTAGGAAAATTTCAGAACGAGCAGAATGGTATTTACCTCGTGTCAAGACTTGAAAGATGCATTGCTTCTTCGATGCCTGGCGAAAGCCGCTGCTCGATTTCATTGCTTGACGAATCCGATATCCTACGAGTATAGTTGATGTCCACAACTGTCTGTAAGAAGAAAAAAGAAAAGAGTTGTGACCCTTTCAACAAATGCTCAAGTACCGAGAGAGACGAGGAGGCTTCATCCACGGAAGACCGTTCCCCGTTGGAACCAAAACCAAAACTGGAGTGCTGAGCGGATGAACTCTGAAAAGATCCCGAAACTTTCCTTTGGCGACCATTGGTAGATTGAAATGCTATGGATTGAACTCGACCGACCTGTTAGAACTGATATGAGAAAAAGGAGCAAAGAAAAAGAAGATGATACCATGTTTGCGTCGTCGTCGAAGCAGGAAAATATGACTCCAATGAACCCAGGATCCAGCATCTGGAAAGACTGCTGTGTTCGAAGATCTACACCAACAACAAAGAACGGGAACTTCTTTTTTTTTTCTCATACGCAGGAAGGAGATGAAACTCACCAACATGAGAAGGAAGAACAGTGATGTGCGGATGTGAATGATACCAGCCAATAACTCTGGTCGTGTTTCCAATCGTCCTAGATAATCTGTGCTTCCAGAGTGAAGGAAAAAACACCAAACTGAAAGAAAATAATTTCCTTGAGGATATCTCAGCCAGAGCCATGGCCGCCGCAAGCTGCTCCGGAGTAGTCTCCACGCGATCCTTGCGTCGATCGGAGCGAGCTTGCGGCACAGCGCCCCAGACGAGAGCATCCACCGTGCCTTTGCTCTTGTCCTGGATGGATCATGGAAGAAATGTCGATCCAGCTCCTGGAGATTGTGAATGGGGAGAATTTCACCTCTTTGATGTCGCCGAGAAGCAGCCCCATCACCTCCTCCGTCTCCGTCGATAGCGCGTGGGTGAGGCAGCTCCTCCAGACCTCATCGCCGATCTTCACGCCCGTGAGCGCCATTCCCGCTAGAACCCTAGATTCTCATTTTATTACAAAAAATAAAAACCAAGAAACGAATATAAATTTAAAGTCTTGAGATTTTCCACCAATGGCGGACGTGCCGGAGTGGTTAACGGGTTTGACTCGAAATCAAATGGGCTCTGCCCGCGCAGGTTCGAATCCTGCCGTCCGCGAGACCTAGTTAATAGGTCAAGAATATCCTGGAACATATTTTGATTTTTTTTTTGCGAGGTTTAGGGTTTATCACTGCGCTTGGGATTTTGGCGATGAGCGCGCGCCCTCGCCAATGCTCGCCCTCCGCCGGCCGCTCTCCAGGTTAGCATCGTGCCTGCTCCTCCAGGCGAATGCGGCCAGGCAAGAGGCCTCTTCTAGGGTGATCTGGGCGCCCGTGAGATTCTTCTACAAGGAGGAGCTCCCGAGCTTCCTGCTGCGCGCGGACGATGATCCGGCTTTCTTCCGCCCCAGCAAGCTCGGAGAGATCGGCCTCAGCAACGCCGACTTGATCTCCAAGATTCTCTACGTTGTGAGGCGGCCATACTGGTCCCCAGAAGTGGAGAGGGAGCTCCAGCTCCTGGACATCAGGCCCTCGGAGTTTCACATCAACGAGGTCCTCAAGAACATCCAGGAGCCCGACGTCGCCAATGGATTCTTCCAATGGATTCGCAGGCAAAAGTGGTACGTCCCAAGCACGTATTCGTTCTCCATCCTTCTCAACACCTATGGACGAGGAAAGGATTTCCAGGCCGTCCAGAGGGTGCTGGCCGACCTCAAGGCGGATAAGTGTCCCATGACCACGGTGGCTTACAACACTCTCATCAAAGTCTATGGGAAAGCTCACAAGCTGGACGAGGCCTGGGGATACTACAAGGAGATGCAAGACTCGAGGTGTGTCCCAGATATCTTCACTTTCAACACACTCATGAGCCTCTACTCGTACGCGGGGCAGTCCGAGAAGGTGCTCGAGGTCTACGATGAGATGCAAAAGATTGGCTGCTCGCTGGACAGGGTCGGGTACGAGGTGGTGGTGCCTCACGCCGGGAAAGTTGGAAGGCTCGACCTGGCTTGCATGCTCTTCGAGAGGATGAAGGCCGAGGGGCATCAGCCGAATGCTGTGGCTTACTCGGCTCTCATTGCGGGACAGCTGAAGTCGGGAAGGCTGGAGATCGGGACCAAGTACTTTGAGGAGATGCGGAGCTTGGAGATTCGACCACTGCTGGGAACTTTTGCTTCGCTCATCGAGGCTTACTGCAAGTCGGGCAGGCTGGAGACGGGGCTCAAGTTTTTCAAGGACATGGAGGCTTTCAACTACAAGCCCAATCTGTGTATCTACGCTGCTCTGGTGGATGCTCATGCAAAGGCGGGGATGCTGGACGCGGCTCTAGAGTTTTACGAGAGGATGCGGGGTGTGGGACTGTGGCTTCCGCCGCTCATCTTTGCGGTTCTGATCGAGCAGCACGCTCAAGCGGGAAAGGCCGAGACTGCGGTGAGGCTCTACAGGGAGATGCGTGGGGTTGGACTGAGGCCGTCGCATTTTACTTGCCGGATCGTGGTTGGAGCCGTAGCCAAGGGTGGAAAGTATGACGACGTCGAGAGGATCCTATTTGAGATGCAAGAGATGGGACTTAACGTCGCGGACGCTGTCAACGATAGCATCGTCAAGCTGGTGGACGACAAGAGAATCTCCGATGCCTGGGAGCTCTTTCTCAAGGTCACGGGACATGGATTTACTCCTCACGTCAGCCTCTGCCGGGAGATTCTCCACGGTTTTCTCAGCTGTGGCGACATGGAGCATGCGAGGCAGATGCTCTCCTTTATGCAAAGGCCGGGCTCGGCAGTGGACTTGAGGACGTACTGCATGCTGCTCGAGTTTTTTCTGCGTGGTTCGAGGCTGGAGCACGAAGAAGTGATCATAAGCTTCATGCGAGAGACGAAGCATCCGGCGCACAGCTTTCTGTGCGGGCTCATGGGAAGCAGCAAGCACCGCAAGGGCCAGAGTCTGGCCGACTACATCAAGTCGTTCTACTCGGAGCTGGAAGCCGAGGTGGATTTCAAGACGCGACGCTACCTCACCAACGTGCTGCTCAACTATCTGGTGGTGATGGGGCAGGAGAGGAAAGCTCGCAGCTTCTGGAAGGTGGTCTATCAGATCCACATGTACCCGAACTCCATCGTCCTCCAGGGAGACTTGACGTGGTGCCTCAAGGTGAGGAGCATGTCCATCGGAGCGGCGCTCATCGGGGTGCTGTGCACGCTGGAGAAGTTCCGGGAGAGGATACTCAAGCGCAGGTTCGTTCCTCAGAGGATCAAGATTCTAACAGGGAGCAAGGCGGACTCAGACGCCATCGCCGTCAGGCAAGCCATCGAGGCGATGATGAAGCCGCTCGACTCGCCGTTTATCTTCCAGGACGAGGACCTCGGGTCGTTTTGGTGCCGGGGCTCCTTCTTCGTCAAGTGGTTTAGGCAATCTCATGTGAGGGGGATCTTGAGGCAGCAGCTTCCTCCGGAGGAAGAGGAGACCGCGGAGGCGAGTGCTACCACGGCTGGGAAGCTCCTGCTGGTCGGGAGCGATGATATGCCACTGCCAGCGTCTCCGGACCTGCCGTTCCCGGTAGGCGACGAGGATGTTCTTCCGCCGGGGTTCCAGCACGGATCAGCAGCAACAGCAGCGGCGTTTTGAGTTGGAACAGTTCCAGCACTAAGCAGCAGATCAGACAACGCTGCTCAACAGGGAGGAGAAACGAGGAGATTATGTGGCAGCTGGAAAACTAGCTGCTGGTGCTGCTTATTGATTTCATCCTACAAAGGCTACAACTTGGAGGTAAGCGAAAGTGATCAAAAGCGATGCTCATGTTGCTTTCCTTTGTCTTGCTCTAGTATTGGCGTCTTCCGAGGCAGTAGCAGCAGATACCCACGACGATGACGAGAAGAGCCAGGATCGGCAGCGGTATGATCAAGTAGTTGAAGTGCATCGTGACTGCTGCCGAGAGAAATTCGCGAAGAAAACTCTGTTGATGCCTCAGCCCCTCCGCCAGGAACTTGTAAAGCGCCACACTGCCAGATTCTTTCTTGCTGTCCTCGCCACAGTGGTCCCACGAAAGAAACGAGAAGACGCGATAATGCGCATCGCTACAAACTTTTTTTTTTTTAGTGACTTTCATCTTTACCTTCTCCAAGAGCAAGTTGTGTGTCTTCAAAGCAAGTTATGTGCTCTTCGTGATCTTCAAAGAAACTCTGATCGAAACCCTTTGTATTGTCACTGAACGTCCACTCCATGCAAGCACGTCCACTCCATGCAATCCGGCTGAAATGGCATGTTGAGGACAAGGTTCTCTGCCAAGCTCGCGAGGCACTGGCTTCTCGCGAGAAGATCGACCATGCAGCAGTAGTGATGCTTGCAGGGTCTTGTGCCGTGATCCACGATCATCGAGAGGAACCATCTTCGTGCAGTGGAGATCTTACCGCTCCGGCTGCAGGCGATGAGCGCTGACTCGAAGAAATGCGAGGAGTCCTCGTTGATCTCTCCATGCGCCAGGGCGACGCTGTGGAAGATCTCAAAAGTGGAAGGATTGAAGAGCTTTGATCTGGCAGTTCCTGCAAGGTAGCCACTCAAGGACGCCTGATCGCTGCCCAGCGGCATTTGATCGAAAAGGGTCCTAGCTCGTTCAAGATCCCCGTTGAGAGCAAATGCTGAGATTAAAGAATTCCAGGAGAAAGTGTTCTTAAGAGGCATCTGAAAGAAGAAAGACTTTGATATTTTCAAGTCTCCAATTTGCAAGATAGCTCCTAGCATTGTGTTCCACGAGACTTGATCCTTCTCAGGCATAGCCTCAAAGGCAGATTGACAAGAACCAAGATGCCCAGATTCGGCATATGCTGAAAGAAGTGTATTCCAGGACACGAGATCACATCTGGGCATTCTAGAAAAGAATATCTCACACAGCACAATATCGGTTGCAATTCCCGCAAGAACAGTGTTGTACGAGAAGAGATCTCTAGCGTACGGGCATCGATCGAACATTTCCTTTGCTTCCTCCATATACCCGTTCAAAGCGAACGCACTGAGCATCGTGTTCCATGCGATGGTGTCGTGCCGCGGCATCCTGTCGTTAAAGATCCACGCCGCCCTGTCCAGATCTCCAATCTCGGCGAAGCTGGCTATCAAAATCGTGCAGGAGACGAGATTGATCTGCGGCATCCGCGAGAAGAAGCTCTGTGCCTCGTCGATCGCTCCAGCGTGCGCTAGAGCAGCGAGCATCGCGTTCAGGGACGCTAGATCCCAGCCAGGCATGGATTCAAACAAGGATCTGGCGAGCTCCAGGCTTCCGGAGCTCAAGATCGCGTTGAGTGCCGTGGTTGTGACACAGGGCATTGCATCCAGCGAGTTTTTGGTGCGAACAAAATCCCCAGCTCGGGCATACGCTGATACCAAGGCGCTCCACGCGATCTCGTCGTGCTGTGGCATTCTATCAAAGAAATTCTTTGCAGAAGACACAAGTCCATTCTCCGAGTATGCGACAAGCATCACCGTCCACGACACGAGATTCCTCTGTGGCATCTGAAAGAACAGCTTCTCTGTGTCTTTCAAATGCCCGTGCTTGGCATTTGCGTTGAGTATCGCAGTCCAGGAGACAAGATCCCGCTCGCCCATCTCGTCAAAACATTTTTTGGCTTTATCAAAGCACTCCTCAATTTTGGAAAACAATGAGAGGATTGTATTCCACGAGATTATATCCCACGCCGGCATGTGATCAAAGAGAGCTTTTCCCTGATCCAGATGCCCGTTATGGGCATATGTCGAGAGCATCGAATTCCACGCGACGATCGTGCAGTTTTCTTCGGGAATGGAGTCAAAGAGATTCTTAGCGTCTATAACACAGCCATTTCGAGACAAGGCATGGAGCATCATCACCCACGAGAAATCGTCCTTGTGGGCAATTGCATGGAAGATTTGTCTCGCGTGTGCGAGGTCCCCATATCGCCCATACATTTCAATCTGCTTGTTCAGAGAAGCAG